AAGGGACAACAACGCCGGTCTGCGGACCCAGGTCGCATACACGGCCATGGTAGAGCGAGTGGCTAATGATCACGGATGACCTGCCTGGGAAAACCACGCAGAGTCGAGTCTTGCGAGAGACGGACCGGTGGAAATCGCCGAAAAGGAAGAAGAGATTCATTCCTTTGGACAACAACGATTCTCCAAAGGTTTTCCTGAAGATCGACTTTGGTCAGAGTTGTCATCCTTTGGGCGGGAAGATGGAAGCGTGGCAAGCGTCGTGTCGGATCAATATGATACCTAAGTAAAAGGGCCCGTTTGGGAACATCGTGATATGTATGTGTAATGAAACGCACCAAGCAGGTAAGCGGTGATATCACTCAAGAAGATTCAAACTACCGTGTGAACAATCTCCCCAGTGGGCTCCATTTTGCAATATGTCCGATTCTCCTTCAGTCAAGTGTCGTGAAGCCGTCCATGGTGGGCCACTGATTCGCGGTATCGAACATTATAGCGATCATTGTCCAGCATGTCAAGGAGCAACTCCACCTGAGGCAACTGTCCACACCGAAACGTGGACTGTGCATATCAAGCACCAGATCCAGAAACCCTTACCTCCGGGTCTTCTTCTGGAGTGGCTGCTCCTCACCGTCAGAGTCACGGCCACGTCCGTTGGATTCGAGCTGTACATCATCCGGCTGTGAGAGAGACGACTCTCTGGCCCGTTTTGCACCCAACACTGGCTGCTTGAGAGACGGACGATAGTCCGGGCTTTTCCCATATCGGGAGAGCTCCAGTTCCCTCAAGGTCACGATGTCCTCCTCAGTGAAGACGGGGGATTCCGAACTGTCGAATGACTGCCGCACAAGACTCTCCGCAACGTCTAGGAATGAGCAAAATGTCTCGGCATCATCCTTTTGCTGAAGGTTAGTTCGACGGGGCATCCTTACGCCGCTGAACATGTCGGAATATAATGCCGAACTGTGTATACAGTGGTGCCAAACTTGGTCCAAAGCGCTTTTGAAGTCGGTAGCTATCATCACTGGCCGAGTACCGTGTAACACGAGCATTTTGACAATCTCTAGACATCTCGTGTAGTCAAGGCCCTCGATGTAGGGTATCGCCGCTAAGAAGGAGACCCATATAGGAACACTAAGATGCTGTGTACTAACAAGTTCGTCTGGATTGGCGCCGAGTCTCAGGAGGTCGCTCAAGATGCTGGGATCAGGCGATGTCCAGCTATCAGTGACCGGTACAAGAGCATAGTGAAGCAGCGGTCTCCCCTCTTTCTCTCGAACTTTCGCCTCTGTTAGTCGTGCCTTGACATACGACTTCCAACCAAGCTGTATGCTGAGTGAGATGGCATTGCTTCGGTGCGCCGACCAACTCTGCAATATTTGGTTGATAGTCCTAGATCGGATGTTTAGGTGATTGTAGTAGTTAGATGTTGCCATTTCAATCCCGTCGAACAGTTCCACCACCTTTTCAAACAGCACAAATGCAGTCTCCTCTTCATCTGGTCGCTCTATAATGTGCCGGAGAAATTTTTCTACGTCAAACAGCCCCCTACCAAGGGTCGCTCCATAACGGCCGAAGGTTCTGATATCGATGGCCATGAGGTTGCATTGGAACATGTGAGCATCGAATGGTGAGTCGGTGTGGCGGTGAAGCAGATCTAGTGCAGCACGACCTGCAAAGTAATCTCGTACTGTTCGATGCAGAAACTCGATGCGCGTTCCGGGGTTCATGGTTTGGCTGTAACCATAGTAGCCATTCTCGTTGGTGTGCGAACCAGTCTCTAACAATCCCATACATCTGCTCACCAGCATTCGCTCCAGCAACTGGAGGAGTTCTCTTCCTTCTTGCGGATGAGCAAAGTTAACATCATAAAGTTGTGAATTTGCACCAAAGCACAAGTCTTCACTTTGATCCAGAAAATAGAGATGCATAAGACGAAATTGAAAGTCTGTAACACCACGGACGTCCACTGCGTCCTCGCTACTGCAGGACAATGCTATCTGGAGGATGATGGATGCATCTTTTCTGTATGGCACTGGCACCGACTCAAATATGCGTTGGAAATAGTCATCCAGGTCAAGGGGAATGCTCTCCAACTCTCTGAACAAGTGCTTACCGCGACCTCCGTCCCTCAGGACTCTCAGAAGATCACGCACAACTAAGTGCACCCACAGAAATACCCCTCTGGCACGACTTATAATTTCTGTGGTTAGATTGTCAAGTAGCTGCGGCTCTCTCTGTAGTTGTCGCTGAAAGTGCAAGTTCTGGCCCAGCTTGCCATGGACATAGAGTTGTATGTCGTTTCGGGTCAGATGCTCGAGCCGGAGTTGCGGGCATTCCTGGAACTCATCTCGAAATATGTTATAGGGCCGGCTAGCGACACACGCCTTGACGTTCTGGCTTAGAGCGAGTCTGTGTATCAAATCCAGAGCTTCTTGTTGTTGGTCATCTGAACCAGCGTGTTCGTCCAACCCGTCGATAAAGAGCAAAATCTGTTTGCTGCTTCCGAGGTGTTGTATAGTCCTGCATAGGACTTCAACCAACTCGTTTTCTTCCCACGCGTGAAGTCGCGAATCTCCACTGAGGCTCGCCTCCCACTTGCTGGCTGAAACCACTTGGTCTACAAGATCAAGATGTGGCAACAGCAGTTGATGGATGAGTGTTCGGAGCAAGCCAGACATCGATTTTTCGTCGTTGGTGCCAGCATACCAAAAATAGAACGAAGCCTTGAGGACTGTATCGTTACCTGATGCTGACAGAGACAACATGTTGTGTGCGCGCTCGTCAAGTTCTCTTATCAGAGTGCTCTTTCCAGATCCGGGTTTTCCAGACACCCAGTATATAGGGTGCTTGCTCGAATGCAACCACTCAACGAAGTCGTCCCATACAATTACTTGATTGTCTTTTTGCTTGAATATCCACTGATATGTGTTAGTGAAGGCCCGACCTATGTTATTGCGTCTGTTGTTGATCTGTGAAAACCATAGGCTTTCCACGATCGAACGTCGAGCGGCCAATTCGCTTTTCATTGTGGGAAGGAGCCGGTGCACCTCGTCTAGTAAAGCTTTGAGGTTATCATCCAACCGCTCCAGGCGTGCAGAGAGCCCCTTGATCTCATTTGTAAGATAGGTGCCGCTGCGTTCCAATGCATCTTCAACATCGAGAGATATGGTGGTATCGTCGATAGCTAGCGAGGAAAGGCTAGAACTCAGTTTGGCAATATCAGCTTTAATATCAGCAGACGACTTGGTAGCCCTTAGAGCTTGGTCTGCGATAGTACGCATTTCCTCGCTCATATTCTGGCGGTCCACAGCAGACTGGTCGTGGAGGTAAACCAAGAGGGAGAGCATCAAGTTCGCCCTCGCATGATCCAGATTCCGCGATAAGGTGTCAATGCATGATTTTTCAGCGTGACTTTTCAATGCCAGTTTGACTACCATATTGAAATGGTTAGCATACGCTGTATTGGATAGCCAGAAAGTGGCCATGGTGCTTATCTTGAAATCAAGGATTCTAGGGTCAACAGACTCACCACTTTTCCACAGGCTGTGTCGCCTATTGAGACCCAGCTTATCCAGCATCGCTGTGAACTCCTGAGACACTCTCAGGCACTCGAGGTTTGCACGATGCAGACCACGGGCAGGTCCTGGCGGCAGCAATTTGGAGGCGCTGGACCCCATCGACGTCTGGAGATAGGCACTTGAGACCGACAGACGTTGCACGCAGTCTTTCAACGACTCAAAGTAATTGTTCCCGCCACCATTCGCGTAGTCGATGGTTTTGCTCACCAAGTGGATCCCAAGGCTGACGAACTGGAGGGCGTTGCCCGCGGCCGCGAAAGTCGTAAGAGGGTCGACCATCTCGAATTCTGGGAGCCAACAACAATGGGAAGCAGACTCTGTGATAGGGAAGTCTGTCCTCCGCTGGCTGAGAAAAAATTTCGAGAGCCAGCTTCGACAATATCAGGCTGGCGATGGGTGGGTGTTCGGGTGGAAAGCCTGAGCATGTGTTGGCGGAGGCGAAGCAACCGAGCCGCCCAGCATCTGCAGGACGAATGCGCAAAAGCCAACAAGGCAGGGTAGAAGGCTGAGTTGGTTGGATGCGAGTCGAAGTACGACAGGCTTGCTACAACCACCAAATGAGCAGGGGTGACGGCCTGATCCCGGCAAGGCACATTCCTGGGGAGTATTCTGCCGTTATCGTACGGCGCATCCAGCCCAGGGTTGATAGGCATGCTTCCCTTCTTTTATGCATGTCACATATCACATTGCAAGCCTTTCTGTCGAGCTGTTCCGTGACGACATGATCATTGAAGACAAACAACAATGTATTACTGCCAGATCAACCTGCACTTCCGCCATTGCTTCTCATTTTCATCTGTGCCAAACCGCCCTTGATCCTCGATTTCGCTGATGCTCTGTGAGACAGTTTCTCTGATCCAACAGCCCTATCAGGCTTTCAGGATCTTGAGATGCGCAGAAAGAATTTGGTGTCGGATTGTGTCGAGTTGAGGCTGGGTGAGGGAGGCTTGAAAGGTTGGTCAGTGGAGTGCTGAAAGGTGGAGGCGCGGCATGGGGTTCAGAGGGGCCCAGAGAGTCGCTGGATGAGCTGTAGCTGAGAAGATGATTTGTCGATCGTATGGTAATGTTTGCATGGTGATGCGACTTCGTAGACAGTGCGGAATGTGGTCCCATTGAAAAAGCGTAGTGTAAAGACGACGTGGCCAATGGTTTAGTCAGTCTTTCAGGCAGCCGCGAATGAGGAAAAAGAAGTCGTAACTGATATAGACAGCTGTAGTCTACAAGTCCAAAGGACTGAATCGAGATGCAACAGCCTCAAAGTGTCAAAGATGCGAAAAGACAATCAGCAATTTTGGACGTACAGCCTCGCCAGGGCAGCCCCATCCCCCAGACCATCCGTTATTCATGACAACCAACCAATGCGTACTCAATTCTGAACAACAGTATATACACAACACCATTGAAGCTGGTTCGCTTCCTCACTCACAGGACCACCTGAACACCCTCCCTCATGGTCTCTAGCGTCTTCTTTCCAATCCCCCTCAACTTGGCCAGATCATTCCAGCTTCGGACAAAGACATCCTCGACTCCTTCACCTTCTTGCTCATTGAGGTAGTCCACGATCCCCTCGGCACGCTTTGCACCAAGCCCGTTCAATGTCTTGATTTTCATGATATCCCGGGTGTTGATGACTTTCAGGAGGTATTGTGTTCGAGGCGTTACCGCAGCACTCGGCTCTATCGGTCCTTGTTGCGTGAGGGGATCCGGTGATGATGCTCTTGCTCTGCGTTTCTGCGACTTGGCTTGTTTTCTCTGCCGTGGCCGAAAGGCTTCGTCTTGGTCGCTATCGTGGTAGGCTGAGCCCTCGTTATCCTCATCTTGGTAGCTTTCATCACCCTCAGCATTCCCACGGGACGTCTTCGACTTTTCCGATCTGCTTGATGGATCCAGCGTCTCGTCTGAATCTCCCACTGTATTGCTCGACTCCTTTTTCGCTGCAAGCTTCTCTTTCAGCCGTTCAATCTTACCCTTCAACTTCTCGTTGTCGGGGAAATACGGCCTAGCCAGCTCATACATTTTCAGGGCGCTCCCAAACTCCCCGCGGGCTTGATGCTGCTTGGCCATGAACAAATAACTTAAGCCTTCCGCCCTCTCACCGTCTTGCCCTTCCAGCCTCTTCTCAATACTGTCCAGCCGTCGTTGAACTTCTTCAGATATGGACTTTTGTGGAGCTGGGTCGGGTGCGTTGAGAGCCCGTGCTGCAAGAATCTCGGAGACTTTCTTCTCCACCAGATTCTCGATCGAGGATTTATCCATGCCCAGTGCTTGAGATTCTGGGGCACGCCGGATGAAGCTGGGTGTTGGGCGCGCGATTTTGGGTGGGCGAGCAGATGCCAGGAACGACGTCTCGGCCGTGCGTTTCAGTGGAGACGACTTCTGAGGCATAAGTTTGGCACTAGTCGCCGTCTTGGTCTTGTCCGAGTAGACCGCAAAGGCTTTCGGTGGTTTGTCATTTTTCGCGGTTGTATCCCGATGTGCAGTGAGGTTTACATTGACGACATTGGTTAGAGGCCGAAGTGGCTGCCGCTGCATCGTCGGCCCGCCGACTGGTGCGCCAGGGACCTGGCGCGGAGGACCCTTAAAGATGGGTTCATTCTCCACCTCGCGAACCTCAATCTTCTTGGTCCGGTTTGCAAAGTTCAGGGAGCTGAGCGTGTCAAGATGGAAGGCCTTGACAGGCGCCAGGTTGAGGATCATGACTGTGAAGCCATTGTTTTGTCCCAGCGAGAGAATCCTGGTCATCTTGGATTCGCGATACGGGATGCGTTGCTGTTTCTTGCTAATGGCTTCCACGCACTGCGCCAGGACAAACAAGGACTTATTGATGCTCGCGGACTCGACCATTCTGTCCTTTCCATTCCCCGTTCTTCGATTGTCTTCCGAACCCGCCAGGTCGATGGCAGAAGCTGTGCTAATTCTCGTTTCCGTCGGAGTGGTGATGGCCACCTTGACGCAAAGAATGGCATGGGACCGTGAGGAATGGGCATTGAGTTTGGTGGCACCGGTACTTCGATTGGCATTGGCCTTGTCGTACAACACCTCGAAATCCTTCAAAGAGGCGCAAGGCATTTCGGTCAGACCAACGACCACCGTCTTTCCACCTTCAGCTTCTCTGATGGGCAATCCAGTGGCCGTTCGCTTCTCGGGCGCCTCGAAAAGATCAAAGACGCGGTCATTGTAGATCTCGTAGTAGCTCATGGACACTTCGACCGTGGTTTCTCCACTACTGCTCTTTTCAATCGCCCGACTCTTTCTGTAGATACTGCTAAGCAATCTCGGGATCATGCCACGGTCAGCCAGCGACTTTCCGCCACGCATTGTATGAGTCTTTCCCGTCCCCGTCGAGCCATAGGCGAAGATGGTGACATCGTAACCGAGCAGGAGATGTTTGACTGTGGGTGCAACTGCGGCCACAGAAGTCAGTCAGGCGAATACCAGCTTTTGCGACCGGACGAGAAGCTTACCCTCGGCGTCGAATATCTCCTGCTGCGTTGCATCTTGCTCATAGACGCTGTTGAACTGGAAACTATACTCTTCGGCAAAGTTCTTGGGGTTGGGAATCTTGACAATCGTCGGCTTCCCATCCGGACCAGGGTGGCTGCTCACGATCTGGTCCCTTTCGATTTCGGTTTTCAGAAGTGGTCGAATACGGGCGACAACACGCACGCTCATCTTGAGCTTTACAATTTATAGACGTTGAAGGATGAGGTTCTGCGGGTGCAAATACAAGGTCGTGGTCCTCAGCTGTGCTTGGAGGGCCGAGTAACTACGAAGACGACCATTTGGGTTGTTGCGGGGGCAACGCACTCAGCCTTGTCCAGCGCCCACATTTCCTCCTGCTACAGACTTGAAGGAACACAATCATTCGATATATCGTCACGATTGAGAGAGCTGGTTATCTACGTTCATCACTCGCTATAAGCTCGCCAGTCAGCTTCAAAATGTAGTGAAGCCTTAGAAATCCCACCAGAGTTGCGTCAAGTCTGCAGACAGAGTGTCAGCCTACCAAGCCATACCGCAGAAGCACCCAGACATCTTCTTCCATGGATTGTGCTGCCAATCTCTAATCCTCTCAGATGCCCTATATCTGCTCGAAGTGCACAAGGTCATACTTTTCAGAAAGAGACGGGGAAGTGGCACCGATTGTGCATGTCACAGCCTTCATGAGCAAAATGAGTTGTAATGTTGAGCAGAGGGAACCTTTGTACGAAGATCTCATATGTTATCCTCGAATAAGGTCGAGCATCTTCATGCTTTTGGTCGCAGACTTATATCTCGTTCTCAGTGGCACCTAAATCCTTCAGCGTAGGGATGCTTAAGCAGCCACAAGTGCATGCAGTATATTGATCCTCCCCAGCCTGGGTGCTCGTTCCTCGCTTAGCAGCAGCCCTAGGCGCTGCGGATTTGCCTAGAGCAACCGGCAACCGGGCGAGTAAATTAGCATGCCTGCTCACGATCCTAGGCATCATCGCAGGCTGTGGGGAGACTAGCTTCAGCTTTCTGGCCTCGCTTGTCGGCCGATCCAAGGATGCTCACCGGGGCGACACCATTTTCCCCAACAACAACAACACACTGGATATACTTCCGGGCCGTTACAAAGGTAAGTCCCAATAGACGCAGCACAACGTTGGTAGTCCAACGGTGTTTTCTCAAGAGCTCGACCACCAGTTGCGACTGGGAAGAACTGCCCAACAGGAAACTTTGTAGAGATCGGAATAGCTCGAAGGATGAGGGGCATATCAATCCATGCCAGGTGTTTTCCCACTTGTGTCCGGGTGGAGATTCGTCGGCTCCTCGCCCAGAAACACATGCTAAACTGGTACGGAAGAGGTTGGTGGGTGTTTAGTCTGGTCGCGTCAGCCCACGTATTACTCTGGAGATACATGTACTCGATCATGGGCCACCCCCGGTCTCAAAACAATAGAAGCAACACCTTTCATAGTGCCCATGGGACACCATTGCGTTTCAGAGTGTCTGGTGCTGTGTCACATACATCGTGAAGTTCTTTGATACAAAGCCTGCGCAGACATTGATCACCCTGGCGCCCATCTTCGACTCACCCACCATGGATAGTTTTCAGGTCTACGAGCCCGGCGGCGGTTCGGGCGCCTCGTCTCTGACGAAACGGCAGCAGGCGATTCTCGCTATACCCACGACATACCTCGGCCTCAACGCTGGACCAAAACCAGGGACCGTCGCTGCCATCGTGCTGGGCTCAATCGGCGGGTTCCTGCTTATCATATACGTCATTTGGGCGGCTCTCAATTACGGGAATGTGTTTGGTCTTCGGCGCGGAGTGGTCGAGGAGGAAGTCATTCGTCGGCGCGGGCCACGCAGCAGCAGCAGGCGAGAGGGGACTATCATCGAGGAGACCATAGAGGTGGATCGGAGAAGTTCTTTCCGGCGACGAGGAGCATCATCTGTGCGGGATCCGGATGAGGTGGGTTTTCAATTCAACTCTCCTTCTGGGAGATACTAACTGACGGTGAAACAGGATGCCACCGTCGAGGAGTAACCAACACGAGTCTGTCCGTTCGGAAAGTCTAGAGCATTACAATGGAAGACTTGGGATTTTAGGAGGAGTATATTTCGGCTATCACTAGGGGATCAGTGCCATACTTGACAGATTCTCGGATTTGCCTGAGGCTTTCAGAAGGCTCAAAGATAGGCGCTGCTCGTTTGCATGTTCCAGGGCTTTGTGGCACACCATGTGAGAAGTGCAAAAGTGCCTTTTCTCAAGAGTGACACTTGGGGTGGGAGAAGGACAAGTCACCACATCACCATCTCCATGTGCTGTATGTACGCGTGCATATTGAGCCTAATTGCCTACGACATAAGGGAACGAATGGTTGGGAATCAACGAGGGCTGGGTGGTTATTATTGTCAGGGTTGCAAACGCATGGTGCATGACTACTATGGAAAGAGGGCGGGCGTTATGGGGGGGCACATGACTGTACAATTATGCCTGAAGAGTTTAGAATGAAGAATGAGGGACGGGGAGACTTGTGTTTACAGAGATACGTGGGAGAATCAGGATCATTACCGAGTACGGAGCACCCAGTACCGAGAATGTACATGCCTAACATAGGTACAGCCCAGGGTGCCATCTCATCAACTCATCATCTTACCACATACCTCTAGGGCCTCGTGCTTTGTGTGATGCCATGTTTGTTTACCGAGTCTCATCCACCCGCCCTGGTCCGGTTGCCCCAAGCCACCCGCCGCCCGCAGTTTCTCGTCTCCACCGCATGCATCATCCACCAAACACCAAACACCAACATGCCCGCCGCGTCGTGGCCGATCCCCATTCACCGAGCTTGCTTAACGATGCTTCATGAACCACACGCTGCAGCCACGTCCTCCTGTGCTCGCTCGGGTACCTGCTCCGTCTTGCAGCCCAACAACTACTCGAACTGACGCACCCGAACATACCAGCATATGCCTGCGACATCCTGCAACATTTTTAAGAGCGCGCCCACGGCCTCCATGGGGGACGGACCTCGTCTGAAAACGTGTTGAAACCCGCCAACGATCAGAAGAAGAAAAAGCAAACCTCTTGCGTCGAACGGCACGCTTGAGCCCTACTACGCCGGCCCTGCGCAGATTTCTCGACTCCCACTCCAGTACCACAAATTCTCTTCGGCGGGCGCGCCCTATTCTAAGCGCAGCGTGGCCCGCGCTCGGTGCCCTTGCACGCCCTCCCCCGCCTCATCTCGCCCAGAAAGAAGATGGCGACAGAAGTCATTGTGCGCGAGTCGTCGCGCCGGCGATATATCTGGCCCGAAGTACAACTGAATCTGTGGATATTCATCGTGTTGGCCGGGTCATCTACAGTATTGGGCATCAATGCGTGGTTCATCGCCGTGCAGGATCAATTGCAGGTTGGAATTCCTTGGTATGCTTCTCCTATACGCAAATGGTCGTTGGACGACTGCTGACACCTGAATGACTGGGGCCTGGACAGGTTATTCCCCTTCGCCGTCATCTGCGGCTCCCTCACGATTGTCTTCCTCATCATCATCCTCATCCTCGCGGCACGCCGGTTACTCATCCCGGGCATCATCCTCCTGGGCAGCTTCGTGCTCTTCGTGCTATGGGTGACCACTCTAATAGAGACGGCCATTCAACTGTACGGCGACGGCAATGTCAACGGCAATTGTAACAACTTTGTCCAGAACCAAGAATATCACGGCGTCTCAATAGAGACGCTGGCGTGGCTCACGCAGAGCAACATCTGCGCGTGTTGGAAGGCCAGTTTTGCGTGGAGCATAATACTGGCCGTTTTGTTTCTGTGGATGATGATCCTGAGTTGGCAGGTGCAGAACTACGATTGAGGATGAGAGAAACGAAGACGGGCGGGGAGGATCAAGCCATGTCTTTTCCTTTGTGTGTGATTGAAGCCTCTTATTATAATGCGCATGTGATGTGATGTTATGCGATGTGGTCTTGTGGGAATTTGGGAGCTAGGATGTTTTGATGCAATATATATGGGCGATTTTGGGATTTTTTTTGTTGCGGGTTACGACATAAAATGTACATGGCGCACTCCCTCCACCTGGGGACTGTTGTTTGTTCCTGGGTCTGGAATAACAGAATTCCAGACCTAGATGGGAAAAGCATACAAGAAGCACGACGCGTTGTTGGTCCCTTTCTTGTTGGCTTTTGTTCTTCTTGCTGCGATGGATCCGGAAAGATTCTCGCCCACCACGGAGAATTTGAGAGACCCGGGCCTTCGAATCCCTGGATGACAAGAGAGAGAGAGAAAGAGCCCGATATTCGAACCGGGATCGGGACTTGACGATACGCCCCCCTCCCCTGGACGGACGACGGCAATGTGTCGTGGTTGATTGATGGATTACTGTCTGCCTGTGTGCCTGACGGATCGAATAGGACATATCAAGCAAACAGATCAAACACTTGTAGGCATGTATGTATGCACGGACATTTAGACTGAGCTCTGTTGTTGTTTTCGTTCGATCTACGTACATGCCTCCAGAGGGCTTCGTTCTGTTCTGTCCTTATCCTGTCCTGCCTGCCTTGTTGGCACCTTGGGCTTTCGTGTGAGGAAGACCATGTCCATTCCTGGGAGAATTGAAAGTCTATGTAATGTACGTAGGTAGTCAATGTCGTGTTGCATGCATGCATACTAGGTCACTATGTTACTAGGTATGTATGTGTATAGACAAGGAAGGCCGACTTTAATAGAGACTGCTTCTCCTCCTTTCTTCCGTTCCCCCTTGCCCCCCCGAGTTCTCTGAAAAATCTCGCGCGGGGGTGGCTATGGGACAGATGGAGCAAAAGGCCATGAACCAGTCCATCACTCACTCAGTCACTCTTCCTTCATCAACTCTGCAATCCGCGCATTCATAAACTCCGTGTCCGGAGGATTCAAGCCGCCGCCGGCGACATGGCCCCAGACACTCTCGATGACGGCCAGACGGCCGTGCTTGAGGTGTTTCATCTCAATCTCCGAGTCCTCGGGCGGGAAGTACTGGTCGGTGCGGCAGGGCATGAGGAGGACCTTGGCCTGGATGCTGGCGAGGGCGGCGCGGTAGAGGTCGTCGTCGGGGATCTTGCCGCCGAGTTCGCTGAGGAGCTTGTTGCTGCTTCCTTCGGACGGAATGACGGTCCCGACATCGCCAATCTGCCACATGCGCGCCAGCACGAGCAGGTCCTCGGCGTCCCAGCCCAGGTAGCCCTCCTCGCGCATGCGCATCCACTCCTCGACGCTGCTCGGGTGGCCCTCCATCTGGGTGAAGCGGCGTTCGCGGAACCACGCCGTGCTGGTCAACCAGGCGCCGTAGGCGCGGGCAAAGGCCCTGAGGCCGCGCTTGGGCACGACCTCCTTGAGGTTGACGCCGACGGCCTCGCCGCGGGCCATCTTGTCCTTCATGGCCCTCCAGGCGACGTAGTCGATGGAGCTGGTCAGCGCGGCGATGGGGCCCTCGAGAAACGCGTAGTTGTGCAGCGACGTCCGCGCCGCCGAGCAGATGACCACGATCCGCTTCACGAATTCCGGGTACATGACCGCCCAGTGGTACGCCTGCTGGCCGCCCATGGAGAAGCCCACGACGGCCTCGAGCGCTGACGCCCCCAAGTGCGCCGTCACCAGTGCGTGCTGCGCCCGCACCACGTCCTCGTACCGCAGCTCGCCCGTCTCCGGGAAGAAGGCCTTGTTGGACGGGCTCGCGCTCTCGCCGTTGCCCAGCATCGCCACCACCACCACGTGGTACCGCGCCAGCGCGTCGTACGGGGCTGACGTGAACGTCAGGGTCGTGTTGATGAGGCCCGAATAGCACGTCGGGATCAGCACCACCCCGGCCGTCGAGGTTGGGTTGTAGCTCCGATACGCCACCCGGACGTCGTGCAGCGTTGTGCCACTTGAGAAGGAGAGGTCATCGATCGAGTAGAACTCGACGCCTGTCGCATCGTAGTTTGGCCCGTTCATCGTGGGATCGGTGGTGGGGGGAATTCAGGCGCGGGGGGAGGGGGGGGGGTCCTTGAGCCTGAATTGTCTTGAGAAATTGATATATAAGAAGCGAGTTCCCTAGCGCCTCTCTGGTCGACAACGGATATCAAGACTGAAGATCTGTTAAGCCACGAGCCCTGTCAAGTCTAGCACCACCCGCACGACTGAAATATGGCATAGAGGGGAAGAAGACAAGTTCGATGATGCAACACGACAAGAATCAACGGCGGGATCGACGCTCTTCTCCGCTTTTCATGGGCTATTGAGATGATAGAACCAGACAAAGAAAGACCACTTGGCCAGACAAAGAAAGACCACTTGGAGGATGGAGGATGATGATGATGATGATTATGGGGGGAAGCATCTCTGTTGAGTCCCTCATCAAAACCAGAAAAGGGTCATATCGTCGTGATCGCGAAGAAAGACGCCAAACCAATGCAACATCCAACCATCCATCCCTGATGCAAACAGACAATGGTCACACTGTTAAACAACGCCATAAGAAGCCCATGTAGCTCCTACATCTCTCAAACCTCCAAAACACGTCTTATCGAACGCTGCCTCGATTGCTTGGTCCGGATCAACTTGAGCTCTTCACCGAGCAGTTTCGCATCCCTCCACTGTTCTTCCATGTTGCTCATGCGAATGGCGGCGATTACAGCGAACACACCGGCACGCAGCTTCTGTACTGGCTTCAGCTTGACCTCATACTTGCGTTTGTCAAGAGACACGCCCATTTCTCCCAGAATGTGGAGATCAACCTGATTGCTGTCGAATCTGTCAGTATACCAGACAATAAAACCGGACTGGAAAAGAGAACGTACCACTCGACCCTCACAGCCTCGCCCTGTTCGAGGAAAGCTTTGCTCCATGCCAGGTCCTTTCGCAGGCGCTCTTCCCGTCTGCATTTGGCTTTCAACCACATAATCTCTTTGATCAGGCCCTTCATTTCCTTTGCTCGAACCTCATCTCTGCTTGACTTGCCAGATGTGAGACGCTCAAGGATACCTTCATACTTGGTCTGCAGCGCCTCGAGCTCGTTCTCCACTGCTTCAGCTTTTTGGTTCGCCACGCTGCGCTCTTCCCGAAGACGTCGGAGTTGATGCTTCATCTCCCTCGCTTCATTATCGCGACTCGACAGTCTCATGGACAAGTCATTGGTTCCTTCCTGTTCATCCCGCAGGCGTTTGAGTTGCGCCTTCAGATCATGGATCTGTCTATCACGTTTGCGAATGCTTGAAGAGAGATGTTGTGCCTCACCATCCTTCTCCCGAAGATCATTGAGCTCCTCCTGCAGTTCATTGACCAGGTCATTCTGCTCTGCAATTTTGGCACTCAATGTTTCCACCTCTGCAGTACGAGATTTGACCTGCGTCTGTAGCATGACCAGTTGATCTTCATCAGTAGAAGCTCGACGGGTGGCACGTTTCAACTCGCGATTCTCCGAGTTCAACACCTGAACTTCGGCTCGAATATCAACCAGCTCCTGTCGGAGCCTGGCAACTTCTTTCGAGTGTGATGGAGGGGGTGAGACTGATGGCGATTTGGCTTTGTATTGTGCAAGTTTGGCCTCATGTAGCTCGCGTTCGAGGTTGTTGACCTGCATCTTCAAGTCGCGGTTGTTTGCTTTCAGATCTGCTTCTCTTTTGGTCGCTGCCGTTTCGTTGTTTCTTGCTTCTATCAAGTCGTGTCTGAGACCAGACAGATCTCCAGCTTGAGAAGCCACCGTCTTCGAAGGGTTGTCGAGCATCTCCTCCAACTCTTTAATACGGGTCTCCAAACGAGCGACCTTGTTCTTTGCAGAAGTCAATTCTCGATCCCTGTTGTCTGCATTGAAAACCTTCTGGTTCCGGAGAGAGTCTATTTCCGCATTCAAACGAGCCTCTTCATTGCCTGCTCGCTCAAGCTCGGCATTGATCTCATCTTCCAACGTTTGGTTAGCTTCATGGAGATTGTCGCGCTCCGTTGTCAATCGGGCAATGTCTTTCTCGAGCTTGACTTTGAGACGCTTCAGCTCTCGCTTTTCTTGATCCATGCCGAATGTTTCGTCGTTCGACTTGGAAGCATTCTGAAGTTTGGACTCGAGAGCGTCACGTTCTTCCTCAGCCTTTTTGAGAGCCATGCGCGTGTCCTGTAGGTCGCTGTTACGTTTTGCAAGCTCCTTCTGCAAGGACTGCCTCTCTTCCTGCATCTGCTGAATCTGGGCATCCGCATGGCTGGAGAATTTCTGCTGTTGTTTTTCCGCGAAGTCATGCTCTTGCTCAATATCTGCCTGGAGTACCTCGATCTCCTCCTCCAATTCAGCCACCTTTTCTCTCAGCGCCGCTTGGTCCCTGATCGAGATACGCAGCTCTTCTTTGGCGTTGTTCAGCTCCAGTCTGTTTTCATCAGATGCGGTGCGTTTGTTGGCGAGATCTTGCTGGAGCTCTTCGATCTGTTTGAGAAGCACTTTTTCTTCTTGATGATGTCGCTGTTTCTCGCTTTCGAGCGCTGCTTGTAGCTTCATTTCACGGCCATTGATTGTTCCTTGCGCATCTTGGAATTTATCCACCGTGCGTTGAAGGCCATTGGCTTTCTCTTCTGCCTTCTGCGACGCGGCTTCAAGCGTCCGTTTCTGTGCCTCCCATTCTTCTAGATCTGCCGCATGGTCTCGCTCTTTCGAATGCACTTCACGGTGCAGCCCGTCGATTTGTTCGTTTAGAAGATCGACCTCTTGCTTATGCTGCGATCTCAAGATGTTTTCGTTCTGTGCCGAGTGTTGTCTTTCCTCGTCCAGAGCAAGTTCGAGGTCCCGGATTGATTTCTGTGCCTTGGAGAGGTCTTTCTGAAGTTCCGCGGATTCCTTGGTCAATGCATCATGTCGCGTTTGCAAAAGATCTTTCTCTTCAACTTTGACTTGTAAATCTTTCTCGACAGTCTCGAGTTGTTTGGCCATGCTGTTCAGTTTGCGTTCGAATATATCACGTTGTTGCTGAGATTGCTCAAGATCTTGCTGCAACTTTCGAAGTTCTGATCCTCCTTCGCGCTCCAACTCTCGAACTTTCTCGCGCAGTTGCCGCTCTGAGTCTGTCTTCTCTGCAAGTTCGACCTGCAAGGCATTGTGTCGTTCCTGCAAGTCTTCTAAATCGTCCTCGAGTTTGTTCGTTTTCTCTTCAAGCTGTCGACTCAGTCCTTTGGTTGTGAAGGACTTGTTGGCCATCTCATCGCGCAGCTCTTCTAGATCTTCTTCGGCTTTGCGTTTTTCCTCGAGAGCCTCTTCTTGGACTTCTTTTGCTTCTGATGCAGCTGCTTTTGCGCGTTCGAGGTCCTGCTTAAGGTCTTCAATTTCTTGTCGGGCAGACTCCAGCTCATCCTCAATTTCAGCGACATCATTTGATTCCTTGCTTGCCTTAGCCTTGAGAACATCAATCTGGTCATCTCTCTCATCAATCTTCCGATCCTTCTCTCGCAGTTCAGCTTGAAGGTCTTCAATCTCATCTTTGAGCTTCTCGACAGTTGATTTTCCTTGATCTTTCGCAGAATCTCTCTCAGTTTCTAATGCTTTGATCTGCTTGTCTTTTGCTTTGACCTCAGTTCGGAGGGTTTCGAGCTCGACGCGGACACTTTCGTCCACTTGTTTTCGTCTAATTCGTTCTTTGAATTCTTCGAGCTGTAATCGATAGACCTCCGCATCCTTCTCGGCCTGGGCAATATTCTTCTTGAACTTGTGTAATTCGCGCTGCATGGTGATCCTATTGACCTTCAAATCGGTATTCTCCTTCAACGCAGCTTGGTTGAATTCATTGCCTCGCTTCGACAGAGCCTCCTCCAAGAAATGTATCTTCATTTTCAAGCCAAAATTCTCCTTCTCAACCTTGTCAATGATGCTTTCTTGCTCGCGTAAGGTCATCATGTTCCCGTCATTCACAAGTCCGGCGGCATCTCGTCCTGGCAGTGGTACGAGAGGTGTACTTTGGGCACTGCTACTGATCTGTTGAGGCATGGGAGTGTTGTCCATTGCATTTCCAGCCGAACTTGAAGTGTGTTCGCTCGCAAACTGTGATATATCGCTGAGTCTTGGAGCCCCAGGTGTGTAGCCACCTTTGAGGTAGGAAGGGGTCGCTTGAACACCGGGCTTCTTGCTCGAAAGGCGACGTGCCATGTTCTTCTTCGTGGCGCTTTGCATGAGAGGTGTAAACTCGGATCGACCTTGGTTGCCATTCGGTAGCAGGCGCAATGGATCTCGTAGTCCAGCTCGAGGGGTTCGGAGGTTGAGGCCCTGAGATTTCGCATTTCTCATCTGGCTGATCAAGTCTCGGTTTTCTGGGGGTGCCGCAAAGGACTTCTCGGGCGAGATCTCTCCTAGACGATCCAGCCCATTGGTGATATATGAGGCGTCGGTCGCCTGCGGTGTGTTGATATAGTTCGCCATGACGGGCGGAGACAATTCAACACCTAATAAGACAGGCAGTCACCTCTAACTTCAATTGTGTAATATTAAGGCAAACAAGTAACCATACTCTGCTGCTGTCTTTGGAGCAGTGACGCTTTTTACAACGCCCAAAGCATCTCGCGGTTGTTGCTTGTTGTTGTTTAGTCAAAAGAGGAATGGTCGGTGCCGCGGGGCTTGGCACCTGCGGGATGATCTCATTGGCGGGATCAGCGGGCAGCAAAGCATGAGCCCCTACGCATTGCACCCTACAAGTAGTTTCCCCTCGCCATCTACGCAGTCCTTGTCCAACCTGCCTAATCATATTCTCCTGCAAAGCCATTTGAGTATGCCTGCCACAGAGGAAGAGATTGCTTGGTTTCGCTCCACATTTCATCCCATCCCGAGACCTGCCTTACCAGATGACTGCATCGAGTATTCCCTGTACATAATCTCGCCCTCACTAGACCCAAGCCATGACTCTGAATTGCGACTGCGGCTGCGGGAGGTACAGAAGTATGCAACGGACATCCATCGACAGCACCTGAAAGACTATATCTGGCAGCGCCAA